TGGGATTCCTGTCACAACTGAAACTCCTGGCACTCCTGGCACGCCTGGAACTTCTGGCACGTCTGGAACCCCTGGACACCTGGAACACCAGGCACACCTGGACACCAGGCACACCTGGAACACCAGGCACACCTGGGACACCAGGCACGCCTGGAACACCAGGTACGCCTGGTACTCCTGGAACGTCTGGAACTGCTGGCACGCCTGGAACTCCTGGCACGCCTGGAACTCCTGGCATGCCTGGAACTCCTGACACGCCTGGAACTTCTGACACGTCTGGAACTCCTGAAACAGCTAGTACTCCTGGCACTCCATCTGAAACAGTTGGAACATCTGGCACGCCTGGTACGACAGGAACACATAATCCATCTGGCACTGCTGGAACGCCTGAAAGACCAGATTCATCAAGTACAAATGAAACTTCTGATTCTTCTCAATCCATTGGTACGTAAAAAAATACTTCATAAAAATATCCATTAGACATGCCATAACAACTAAATATAGAAATATTAATATAATTATTACTAATTCGTATTACTGGAACAGGCACTACTGCACTTAAATTAACAACCACTCCAACTCCTGGTAATACCGGTACAGATAGCAATAAGGATACACCAAACTCCTTAGCGACACAAAGCACGCATGGATTAAATACCACTGCAACAGTAACTCGTACACCAAACACGCCTGGGGAAATTGAAACAACAAGCACACATAGTACACTAACAACGACTATTCTATCCGATTTTTCAACAAGTGCACATCATACACCTGAAACTCCAGTCACTCCTGAAATTACAATAAATACAGAAGCTTCAAGCACATTTAAAACCACAGAAACTCAGGCTGGTCCAAAACTTCCAACAACTGAAGCTACAATGAGCACAGAAACTCCTGGTAGTCCGGAAACTCCAGTCATTAACAAAACTCCAGAAACTACAGCCACTGAAACTGCAGTGAGCACAAAAACTCCTAGTAGTCCAGAATCTTCACCGACAACTGAAGCCACACAATCTTCGAATATTCCAGTATCTCCAATTACTCCTGAAGTTACAGTAGGCACAGAAACTCCTGGTAGTCCGGAATCTCTAGTCACTACTAAAACTCCAGAACCTACAGCCACTAAAGTCACAGTGAGCACAAAATCTCCTAGTAGTCTTGAATCTTCATCCACAACTAAAG